TCAGACTCTTCCAGCCACCGCTGGATGTGCCCCCAAAATAAACAGTGACAGAAATCCCCCAGTCCCTGGGAAAAGGCTTCTTGGAACATGCTCAGAAGTTCTGGAAAAGTGGTGGAAGTGGGTGGCATGCAGACAATAAATTACGGTGCCGTCGCGGCCAAAGCCACCGACTCCAGGCAGGGTGGCAGAAAGCAGGACAGAGGAAGAGTCCTCACCCAGCCACCATGCTTGCCGCAAGGATGGTCCTGCTGCTCGTGCTGCTTCTCACCTTCTCCCTGCACCGTGCCGCAGGTAAGGCACCTCGTGGGCTGCAGGTCAGGGCTGGGGGTCCCCACTGGGCATGTCCCGTTGGGGAGATCAGGCAAGAATCCCCAGCGGGGAGCGGGGACGGTGCTGCTGGCCGGAGGAGCAATGCCCTGGTCGGGGAAGGGTGGCACGTCCTGGGGTGCAGGGAAGGATGGAGAGGGTGCTGGGTGGCTCAGCAAAGCCGGTCCTGGGGAGGTGCTGGAGGAGCTTGGATGAGACTCACCCAGGTCTCAGCTGGATGAGCGAGTGGTTGGAGGGGTGGGGGAAGCAGCTCTTTGGAGCCTCCCAAAACACTTTGCAAGTTGCGCCCCTGCCTTGGAAACCCCCAAAACCTCATCCCCAGACCGAGCACCCCTGACCTCACCGTGCACTTTGGCAGCTGCAGCAGTGAGGGCTGTGGGGTGCCAGGTCCCACACACAGAGTTGTTAAGATTGGAAAAGACCTCTAAGATGATCAAGGCCAACCATCAACCCAACACCCCCATGCCCACTAAACCATGTCCCAAAGTGCCACGTCCACAAGTTTTTTGATCCCCTCCCGTGATGGTGACTCCACCACCTCCCTGGGCAGCCTGTGCCAGTGCTTGACCACTCTCTCCGTAAAGAAATTTTTCCTAATATCCAATCTAAACCTCCCCTGGTGCAACTTGAGGCCGTTTCCTCTCGTCCTATCGCTGGTTCCTTGGGAGAAGAGACCAACCCCCACCGCGTCCCACGCCGCTCCCCTCCCCACGTTTCCCAGGCCTGTGCGTGCTGCCGCGGAGGGAGACGACTCCCTGCTGTGGGATGTCGTGGGAGCTGCCGAGGAGCTCCAGGGACCTCCATCCTGTGCTCGCCCCCCTGCCACGCCATTGTCTGGCGACGCGATGAGTTGCGGAACGCTGCCGAGGGCGTTCTCAGCATCTCTCCCTTCCCTCCGCAGCCCACTCGACGCCCACCGAATGCTGCTTCAAGCATGCGCAGAGACCCGTCCGACACATGCGGAGCTTCTACGAGACGCCCAGCGACTGCTCCTTGCCTGCAGTCGTGTGAGTACCCTCGGGCTTTGCCTCCCACCCCCGGCACGGTGTCGTGGTTGGGAGCTAGAGCAGCTCCCCCCATCCCGTCCTGCCCCACGGACAGCCCGGTCTCAGCTGGGAGCACATGCCTGTGGTAGGGAAGTAGCTCTGTGGGGTGGGCAGAGAGGGGAGGAAAAAACCAGGTTTTGGTGCTTTCCGCTAATGCCAGTGGTCTGGGAAGACTCGGACACGCGCCGTCAGCCTGAGGAGGACACGGGCTGCTGGAGATGGCTCTGAGCCTCCATCCAGGATGGGGCTGCACCCAGGGAGGGGAGAAGTCGCGCATGGGAAGGGAGCGGCTCATGGTTCCCCGTTTTCACTCTTTTTCCTCACTTTCTCGCTGCAGGATTGTGGCTGCCACCGGTGATGAGGTCTGCGTCGATCCCAAGAAACCCTGGGTGAAGAAAGCCATGAAAAAGCTTCGAAGGAAAAAATGAAATCCTCTTCCCCACCTGACTTGCTCATCCAGTCCTGCCGACTCCGGAGGGAGCAGACGGCACTCGCGGCTCTTCTCCAAAGGGTCCCGTGGTGGGGGGTGCTGCCACTGCAGGCGGAGCAGCCCGTACCCCGGCAGCACCGGGTGTCACAGTGGCACGGACCAGCCGGCCACCGAGTCCCTCCTGCCATCACTGCCCTGCCAGGATGCGCCCAGTGGAGCCAATATTTATAATAAAGACTCGTTGCCACAAGCCGCTCTTTGAATTTTTCCCCGATTCTTTAGCCCAAGGAGCAGATCCTACAAGCCCAAGGCACAGTGGGACCGAAAACCCCCTCTGCCACGGGCAAGTGTTTCTCCAAGGCTTGGAGCAAACTGTGCCTGATCATGGCATGCTTCATTGGGAACCTGGGGCCAGGGCTTGACCCATAGGTCAAGGATCCACAGGTGAGGTTACCCTTTCCCATAGGTGAGGCTATATGTCCTCAGAGCGTGCTCCCAGCCCCACGGGCTTTGCAGGAGCTCCAAAATTAGGTGGTTGGGAACGGAAGGTTCAGGGAGAAGACACTGATTTGCCAAAGCCTTAAGACCTTGTCAGCCTCCACGTACGCTGGTGGCCAGCCCTAAACAAGTGAGGGAGATGAAAAACGATGTCCGCGATGCCGGGAGGGCGAGGACACAACCCCCTTGGGGTGGGAGCAGCACAGGACCCCAGCTGTGAACACCAGGCTGATGGTCCATCATTTTACATGAGAGGTGCAAAGCGTCCATGGGAAAACCTCAGAAAGGTGATGGCAAGAAGTGTATTAAGTGCTACAGACTGATCTTCTAGGCAAAGCATCATCGGTGTTTCGTGCTCACAATTAGAAAACAGGGCAAGGTTGTATCTTCTAGGATATTGAATGCAGGCAGGGAACAGGAAACACATCCCAAATGACATTTTTGCCCATGAATCATAAACACCACGGGATGAAGCCGTGGCGGAAAGGAAAGCTGAAGCAGATTCCGATGTTGGGGGACAAACGTCTCATGGATTGTGCTTGGCTGTTCATAGACATGAAGTTGCAGGGTTACACCCTCCCAGCACGTAACACCGAGGGCTATGATGGCCACACCGTCTTCTGAAACAAAAAATGGGATGTGCGAGTAGCTGTGCAATGTGGTAAGCTTGACCCCAGTGGTAAGACCCCCAGTCTGTATTTCACAGACTCGTTAAACACTTAGGAAACTAAGCAGCCTTCCCCAACCATTCGAATTTGAGGGTTATCAAGATTATTTCCGCCACTATTTTTTCTAAACACCACTGAAAATCAAAATTAAGTAGGCCCACAACCAGAATATTACAAGTGGACAACACAACGCTGAAGAAGAAAAAGCAGTTCTTGCCATGGCGCACAGCTCACCCGGAAATTTTTGACCTGTCGTGACAAGATGCTATTGCCACCAAGAGGGCGAGATGTTGAGGACGGCCAGCAGACCAGCCGGGAATATTACGGAGATGACACATCACACCCTCTGTGAGGAAGGTGGGGATGGAAATGTGGGACAAACGCCATCTGCCCGTAGTACAGAACGGCCCCTGCTGAAAAAAAAATACTCATTATGAGGATTTTACTGGTCTCTATCCCTTCGTTGACCCAACGACACCCTGCTGGGCACGCCAACGTTGTTCCCGAGGATCTTACCACCCCGATGGCCTGTTTTGGGTGATGGGGACCGGAGTTGCGGTGACGTTCAGAGCTCGTCCAGACCCCAGTGGGTGACGAGTGACTTGCTGCCAGGTGGGAACGCTACCAAACGTGTGGCATCGGGACCCAAGATGCAGGAGGTGGCCCATGACAAAACGGCACCGATGAGGAACTTCCAGGGTCTGCGTGCGCTGGAAGCGGCCCTTGTCCACGCTTTCGGGCAGGGCTCAGCGACTGTGGGAGAAGCTGTTTTGTAGAACGTTCCGGAGAACAGCCATCACACGCTTTCTGCCATACCGAGGACATCTTATCGCAGAAATATATATATAAGCGCCAGCAGCTGCTGCGTCGTGAACTGCCCCGTAACGGCCCCGTTACCAAAGCTGGGCAGGGCTTCCCTCAAAGTCGTAGCGATAATTGCTCCAGACCCCATCCCGCGTCGGAGGGGGCACGAGCTGCCGCCGGCGCCGGCTC